TATTTTTAGTGCTTCAGCTTCTTTTAATTTTTTCCAAGTTTCTATTTTGAAAAATGTCAGAACTACAGAACAAGCACCCACGTGTGTGTGTGTGTGTGTGTGTGTGTGTGTGGCCAAACTGCTTTAAAATAAGTGTCAGACACCATGACACTTTGTTCTCTAATATTAAAGTGTATTCCTACTAAGAACAAGGGCATTCTCCCCAAATATCACTAATACCATTATCATACCAAAGCAGTTTACAACATTCAGCCCTATTCAAATATCCTCAGTTTTCCCAGATATATCTTTATGGCTTCTTTTTTTCTTTTATCTAGGATCCACTGAAAGATCATACATTTAATTTAGTTGTCACATCTATTTTATCTCTTTTAATCTAGAACAGTAGCCTTGCCTTGTTGTGGTCATTGATGACATTGATGTTTCTGAAGAATCCAGGCCTATTGTCTCATAGAATGCCCCATGTTCTGGATTTCTCTGATTGCATCACCATGATTAGATTAGGTTTAGGCCATTTTTCTGGGAACCCATGCTACTTTTACTTGAGTCACCAGTGTTTTTTAGACTTGGAATTCACATTACTGGTGATATGTGGGATGGTTTAAGTAGCACCAGGATGATTTTAAGTGATACCATGGATAAGACTATTTATTTTAAATTTGGTAACTTAACAGTTTTATTTTTTATATAACAGCAGTTTTATTTAGATACAACTCACAACCATATAATTCACCCATTTAAAATATACCATTCGATGGTTTTTAATATATTCAGAGTTTTACAACCATAACCGCAATTGATTTAGAACAGTTTCATCCCCAAAAGAATCGTGTATACTTTAGCCATCACCTCCTAACTACTCTTCAGTCCCCTAAAAACATCCCCCCTCTCCATCCCTTCACCCACCTCCACTCTTTACCTCTTCCCCCAACCTCACTCCTCCTTTGCGTTTCCCTGAGAGCCAAAAATGTTGAACGTCTTTTCATGTGCTTATTGACCACTTCCAAGACTTCTTTGAATAAATGTCTACTCAGATTCTTTGTCCACATTTTAACTGCATTTTTTTGTCTTTTTATTATTGAGTTGTAAGAAGGGTATTTTTTTAAATAACAAAAAAATTACTGCTGTTTCTTTATTACGAGTTGCAAATTCTTCTTCCAAGTTTGTTGTTTCTTTATTTTTCCCTCATGAAGGATTTGTGTGAGTTTTTGTTTCTTTTTTGTTTTTGTTTTTTGTCTTTATTTTTTAGAGTGGTTTTAGGTTCACAGCAAAATTGAGAAGAAGGTACAGGATTTCCCATATACCGTCTGCCCCCACACATGCTTAGTCTCCCCATTACCAGCATTCCCCAAGAGAGTGGTACATTTGTTAAAATTTATCAATCTGTATTGACACATCATTATCACTCAAAGTCCACAGTTTACATTAGAGTTTATTCTTGGTGTTGTACATTCTATTGGTTTGTACAAATGTATTATAACATATATCCACCACTATACTGTTATACTGGTTATTTTCATTGCCTTAAAAATCTTCTGTGCTTTGTCTATTCATCTCTTTCCCCCACCTCCAGCAAACACTGATCTCTTTAGTGATCTAACAACCACTGTCCTTATACTTTTGCCTTTCGAAATGTCCTACAGTCGGAGTCATACAGTATAAAAGCTTTCCACATTGGTTTCTTTCACTCGGTGGTATGCATCTAAGCCTCTTCCATGCTTTTTCATAGTTTGATAGCTCATTTACTTTTTCAATTTTTTGTTTTGGCCCACTTTTATAAAAACAGATACCAATTTTTTTTAGCATTGATTAATATTTTATTGCCTGGGTGTATTACAGGTTATTTATTCATTCACCTACTGAAGGACATCTTGGTTGTTTCAAAATTTTGGCATTTATGATGCCATAAATATTCATGTGCAGGCTTTGGTGTGAGCATAAGTTTTCAACTGCTTTTGGTAAATACCAAGGAGTGCAATGGCTGGATTGTATGGTTAGAGTATGTTTAGTTTTATAAGAAATCACCAAATCATCTTCCAAAATGGCTGCATCATTTTGAAATTCCACAAGCAATGAATAAAAGTTCTTTTTCATTTTAACTTTTAAGTTCAGGGGTACATATGCAGGTCTGTTATAAAGGTAAATTTGGATCACGGGGGTTTGTTGTGCAGATTATTTCATCATCCACATATTAAGCCTAGTCTCCATTAATTGTTTTTCCTCATTCTCTTCCTCTTCCCACTCTCCACCATCTGATAGCCCAGTGTCTGTTGTTCCTTTTTATGTGTCCATGTGTTCTCATCATTTAGCTCCTACTTTTAAGTGAGAACATGCAGTATTCGGTTTTCTGTTTCTGCATTAGTTTGCTAAGAATAATTAATGGCTTCCAGCTCCATTCATGTTCCTACGAAGGACATTATCGTGTTCTTTTCTATGCTGCATAGTATTCCATGGTATACATGTACTACATTTTCCTTATCTAGTCCACCATTGATTGGCATTTAGCTTGATTTCACATCTTTGCTGTAGTGAACAGTGCTGCCATAAACATACACCTGCATATGTCTTTGTGATAGAACGATGTATATTGATTTGAGTACATACCCAGGAAGAGGATTTCTGGGTTGAATGATATTCCTGTCTTTAGGTCTTTGAGGAATTACTATACTATCATCCACAATGGTTGAACTAATTTACACTCCCACCAACAGTGTATAAGCTTTCCTTTTTCTCTAGAACCTTGCTAGCATCTGTTATTTTTTGACTTATTAATAGCCATTCTGAATGTTGTGAGATGGTATCTCATTTGCATTTCTCTAATGATCAGTGATGTTGAGCTTTTTTTAATATGCGTGTTGGCCACATGTATGTCTTCTTTTGAGAAGTGTCCGTTTATGTCTTTTGCCCACTTTTTAATGGAGTTATTTGGTTTTTTTCTTGTAAATTTGTTTAAGTTCTTATAGATGCTGAATAGTAGAACTTTGTCAGATGCATAGTTTGCAATAATTTTCTCTCAGTCTGTAGGTTACCTGTTCACTCTGTTGACAGTTTATTTTGGTGTGCAGAAGCTCTTTAGTTTAATTAGATCCCATTGGTCAATTTTTGCTTCCGTTGCAATTGCTTTTGGCATCTTTGTCATAAAATCTTTGCCTGTTTCTATGTCTTGAATGGTGTTGCCTAGATTGTCTTCCAGCACTTCTATAGTTTTGGGCTTTACATTTAAGTCTTTCATCAGTCTTTGGTTGATTTTTGTGTATGATGTGAAGGAACGGGTCCAGTTTCAGTCTTCTGCATATGGCTAGTCATTTATCCCAGCACCATTTATTGAAAAGGGAGTCCTTTCCCCATTGCTTGTTTTTGTCAGCTTTGTCAAAGATCAGATGCTTGTAGATATGCAATCTTATTTCTGGGCCCTCTATTCTGCTCCATTGGGCTTGGTGTGTGATTTTGTACCAGTACAATGCTGTTTTGCTTATGTAGCCCTGTAGTATAGTTTGAAGTTGGGTAGCATGATGCCTCCACATACTTACTGACATTTGGTGTTGTCTGTGATCTGGATTTTGGCCATTCTAATAAATACATCTTGATATCTCATTTCTTTCTTAATTTTCATTACCCTCATAACATATGATATGAAACATCTTTTTATAGGCTTATTTGCCATCTATATCTTCTTTGAAAGGGTGTTTCCTAAGACATGCGGCCCATTTTTTAATTCTGTTGTGTTCGTATTGTTGAGGTTAAGAGGTTTTAGTATATATTATAACAGCTTTTTATCTGATATATCTTTGCAAATGTTTAATATCAGTCTGGCTTATCTATTTATTCTCCTCATCATAATTTTTGCATGGCCAAAATCTTTTTATTGGTCCCACTTATCAGTTTCTTCTTTCATGTATCATGCCTTTGGTATGGCATATAAAAAATCATTGCCAAAACCAAGGTTATCTCTTGTTATCTTCCGGGAATTTTATAATATTGTACCTTATGTTTAGGTCTCTGATCAGTTTTGAGGGTTTTTTTGTGTGAAAGATGTAAGGTCTTTGTCTAGATTCATTTTTCAACATGTGCTTGTCCAGTTGTTCCAGAACCATTTGTTGAAATGACTGTTTTCTCCATTGTATTGCCTTTGCTCATATGTATCACAAGGCCTTTCCAACATTGTATTACCTTTCCTCAATGATCAATTGACTATGTTTTTGTGGGTCTGTGTCTGGGCTGTCTATTCTGTCCCATTGATCGATTTGTCTGTTCTTTCACCACATTACTTAATCACTGTAGCTTTATAGTAAATCTTTAAGTTGGGTGGCGTCAGTCATCTGATGTTCTTCTTCTCCTTAATATTGCATTGAGTATTCTGGGACTTTGCCTTTCCATATAAAAAGTCACTTTACAATCACTTTGTCCCTATCCACAAAATAACTTGCTGAGATTTTGATTGAAATTGCGTTGAATTCATAGATCCAGTTGGGAAGAACTGACATCTTAAAAATACTGTCTTTCTATCTATGAACATGAAATATTCTGCTGTATTTCCTCTCTATACTTTTATGGCTTCATATTTGCATTTAAATGTTTATCACCTTTGAAGTGTTCCCAAATGGATATGCAATTATTCCAGCATCATTTACTGAATTGTCCTATAATTTGGGGTATCTTCTTTATCATATTCTGAATTACCATACTAGTTAGACCTATTTCTGGATTTTCTGTTTTGTTTCATGGGCAATGCTATTCATTCACCACAACTGCCTTGCTTTAGTTATTGAGGCTATAAATATAAAATATATTTGGTCTTTGTCCTGCCACATTATTTGTACTGTGTTCCTGTTGAATAATTTCATTTTTTAAATCTTTCCATTACACAGTTATTATAGACTGAATGCCTGTGCTTCTTCCCCACCCCCTACTAACATTTATATGTTGAAATCCGTATCCCAATGTGATAGTATTAGGAGGTGGGGACTTTATAAGATAATTAGGTCATGAGAGAGGAAACCTCATGAATGAAATTAGTATTCTTCTAAAAAAGACCCAGAGAGTTATCTTGCTCTTTCCACCACATGAGGATACAATGAGAAGTCTGCAGTCTGCACCCCTGAAGACAGCCCTCAGCAGAGGCTGATCATGCTGGCACTCTGATCTCAGACTTCAGGCTTTCAGATCTGTAAGATATAAATTACTGCTGTTTATAAACCACCCAGTCTGTAGTATTCTGTTATAGCAACCTGAACTAAGACACTATAGCTTTTATGTGTAGTCTAATATTTAGGAAATAATATTAGAATATTTGCATTCTAATGGTTGCCTTTATAAGTGTAGTATTCTCTTAATTTTCTTAGCTATCTATTTTCCTTAGTTAGTTCTTCATTATAATGAAATAATTATATTTTCTCTTCCTTTCCCTATCATGTTTCTTCATTCTCCCACATAGCTCAGAGATGAGGACACCACTGATAATCAATAAACATTGATTTGCTGTTACTACTTTCTAAAAACAAAACACAACAAAATGCACACACAATGTCAATAAAAGATATTTCATTCTCTTTCCTCTTATGCCTGGATATCCCACACTGGTTTGTCTAGAATTGTCTCCCATTCCTGTTTGACAACATTCTCTCTGACCTAAAGACAGGAATTTTAATGCCTTGGAGATAAAGAAAGGTTGAGTCAAGGCAGGAATACATGACACATTCATATTTCCCTATTACGTCCTGATTTCTTTATTGCCCAGGCTCTGAATCTGGCCTAAAACCAGAGATTAGTGGGAGAAACCAGAACTGAATCACTACAGGGACAGCATTCATCAAATGCTGACATTCCAAAGTGCTGGGTCCACAGGACTGGGAACACAAGTCAGGAAATAGAAGCAAATTTTAGGGAAATACCTGATGAGGTATGAATCACATGGCCTATGGCATCTGCCTAACCTGCATATAGCATGGCCATAGGTCTCAGGGAACAGGATGGCTTTATGCCTGATAAACCAAGGAATTTCCGTTTGGATAACAAATTATAGAAGCATCCCACATATAGCCCACACACATTAAATGTGACAATTCAGCCATATCTAATTAGGCCAGTGATAAGGTAGCCTTGGCCATCATCATCATCGTAAATGGAAAGCACACACCTTGATGTTGCCATTGATTGGATGCCTTTCTGGTGAAGTCTCACTTTCCTCATCTGTAAAATAAAGACAAAACAGGTATGGGTTTCACCAATCTCAAAAGTTTATTTCATTGGTATATCAGAATTGGATTTTTTACATAGTTCAACCATTTTTCATTATGATCAAATTATGTAGGTCATGGTTATTTTAAGGCTCAGAACAAAAATGTCCAGAAAAGTGCTTTCTAAATCATGTGACAGTGGGTAAATGACAAGCATTGTTACTATGGAAGAAGACTTCCCGGTACTTGCTTTCTTTTGGAAAGAAAAAAATTAAACAGTTCTCTTAATTTCTATAAGAGTTGGGTTCATGGAAAGAAATCTTCCACCAACCCAGGGATGTGTGCAAGGTCTGTGGGAACCATGAGGACAGAAGTATTTGCTTTACAGGAATCAGGATCTGAGCAAGGTGTCTTGTATGCTCACAGGAAATCCAAGCCCACAGTAATTTCAGGTGACAGCCAATTCATGGGAGGCTCTGAGGGCCTTAATTAAAAGGTCGTTTTTTTCTAAAGTAAAATTATTCAACTCAGATAAGTATTCATGAGCTGTTCGAACTGACTGATGCATGCATTTCTGCCTCTAAGGAATGAGTAACAAAAGATATTCATTAGGCAAAGGTAACTACACCTAATAAATATCCCAGACCACTCTTCCCATGCCCACCTCCACCTCTTGTATAGAATCTATCTTTAAAGGAAAAATGTCTAGAGATAAGACTCAGAGCTTTGGATCCACCTGCTTTTTGGAAAAATTTTCTAAGTACCTTAGTTATACTGCATCCTTTCTCTTTCCCTTCCTAGAATGAATTATTCATTGCCTAATCCACAAATTCCACCCCTCTTAGATGGCAGGTCAGCATGCTTTTTCTTAAAGGGCCAGGTACCAAATACAGGCTTTGTAGGCCATATGATCTCTGTTGCAACTACTCAGTTCTATGGTTGTAGTGCAAGAGTTGCCGTAGACAACATGTAAACAAATCAGTGGGGCTGTATTCCCTCATAATAGTATTTATGGACACAGGAACTTGAATTTCATATTGTTTTTACTGGCCATAAAATATTCTTCTTTGAATTTTCTTTCAACCACTTAAATATGTGAAAACCATTCTTAGCTTATGGGTCATACAAAAATGGTAGCAGGCCAACATACTTTGCCAACTCCTCCTCTGTCCTGTGAGCAACTTGAGAGCAGGGCTGAATGGTAATCATGTCACTATCTCTTAAGGCTGGGCTTCAGTGCCTGACATCCAGGAGAGATCCAAAACTGTGGAGGAAGAAGTGAGAGACAAAGGCCATGGAAAGCACAGCAGATGAATCCATCACACACAACAAAAAAGTCCTTTGTGTGGTTCAGAGTGGGTACCAGAAGGGAGAATGTATGGTAGTAGGGCTATTCTTCTCCCCTGATATTTTTTACATCAAATGTGTAGGAAATTTTCCACACCAGTTCTCGGTATCCAGCAATTCAATTCAATTCTGACACTATATAGCTGAAGTTAGCATCAAATCCTACAAGTTAAAGGGCTCAGTCCCACAAGAATGGCCCCACTTCGGATACCAATCGCAAGTCCCAGGCCCCCTATGCTCCTGACAACCAAGTGTAAACTGGGAGTTTCCAAATTTGCTAATTCATGTTGGATCATTTGCTAGAATGCCTTACAAAATTCAGGAAAGGACTCTAGTTACATTTATCAGTTTATAATAAAGAATACAAATGAACAGCCAGATGAAGAGGTACATAAGGTGAGGTCTGGAAGGGCCCCAAGTATGGGAGCTTTTGTCACCATGAAGTTGGAGTGTGCCCCTCTCCCAGCATGTGTGTGTGTTCACGAACTCAGAAGCTCCCCAGTCCCATATTTTGGTTTTTATGGAGGTGCCATTATGTAGGTTCAGTTGATTAAATCATTGGCCGTTGGTGATTGATCCAATCTTCATCCCTTTTACCCTCCCTATTGGTTGGGCTGGGGGAGGTTTGAAAGTCCCAAGCTTCTAATTAAGGCTTGGTCTTTTTGGTGACAAGCCTTCTAGGGTCCCACTAAGAATCACTGCATTAGAACAAAGGTGATTCTATCACCCATATTATTCAGGAAATTTCAAGGGCTTTAAGAGCCTTGTACCAGGAATCAGGAACAAAGACCAAATATCTTTCTAATTATGTCTTAAATATCTAATAACATCACTTTGGAATCAGAAAGACACCTGTGTTTGCATTCCAGCTCCACCATTTCCTGGTTTGGCCCTGGGCAAATAACTGCACATCAGAGTCCATTTTCTGCAGTAACAGAAAAAAACAACTAATGGTGGCTTGAAACTTATCAAGAAACATGGGCATAGGGGTTTCAAGCCTGGTTCAGTCGCTCAACATTGCCACTGAGATCACAGATCACACCCTCTTTCTTTCTCCTACTCATTGGCTTTTTATCTCTGTTTGTTATCGGTGGTTGCCAATGGCTGTCAGAACTGTAAGCATCACATCCACCATGTTCAAGCCAGGAAGAAGGAACAGAGTAAGTACCAGCTGTCTCCTCTTATGTCTCCTCTTATAGCATAAGAGGAAACCAATGACCTACCTAGAACTCTCGAGACTGATGTCATTTATATTCTCATTGTCCAGACCTGGGTTCCATGGCCACCCTTGTTGTAAGGGAGGTTAGTCTTTATGGTGGTTAGCAAGGGAGGAGGGAATTGGGAACACGGTGGAGGGGGGGAGGGGCCTTAACGGTGTCTGCCTCACAGATGTGAGACGTGAGAAGTGAGGCAATGTGTGTAAAGCATTGCACATAAGCACTCGGTCAATGGAAGCTGCTATTATCAATAGGACTAACCTAAATATTTTCAAAATCCTAAAACATTATCTCTACACTGCCAATAAAAAAACTGCAATTTCTCAGATGAAGTTAGAAAGCCTCACACGTTCATTTCATAATGCCAATAATTACATACATTAAAAGTGAATGAAGATTGAAGTAGAAGAGAGAGAGAGAGAGAGGGAGAGAGAGAGAGGCTGTGTGAGAGAGAGATATTCAGTTATTGATGTATAGCATTCCATATTACATAGAGCTACATACACACACAGACACACACACGCGCATGCACGCGCATGCATGCATTAAGAATAAATGAGTAAAGCCAGGTGTTGATAGATAGGCTCTGCATTCTGAATGTTAAATTAGATAACTCAGGCACTTTTCTCAGGCTCAAATCCTGAGTCATCCTTCTCCCTCTGTCCTTTCCTTTCCCTAGGCAGTCAGAAAGTTCTGTAGATTTTGCACTGCAACATGCCTTCTATTTGTTCTCTCTTTTCCATTGCCAAAGTGCAACCTTTATCACCTCTTGTTCAGACAATTGCAGTAGGCTCCCTAAGTATTCCCCTGTCTCCAATCATTCTGCCCCCTACCAAAGCAATCCATTCTCAATTTCTTGTCAGTTATCTTCTTAAAGCAAAATTCTGACCATGCCATTTCCTGGCTTGAAAACCTTTAATGGTTCCCGATTGCCTACAAAGTCCCGATGCCTCAAATACTATTCAAGGATGTCCCTACCTGCCCCCAAACTCCCTTTCTCACCTTCTCATTTCCTTACACACTCACAGTCCAGCTTACTTAGAAACTATTCCTTATTCTCTCAGCAAATGCCTCCCCTATGCTTCCTGCATTTATCTTATTTCACACTGATCCCTCTTTGCTCTTCTAGATCCTACCTTGAGGGATGATGGTAGCTTCCACTTTAGCCTACACTGAAACTCTGTCTCATGGAAGATTACAGAGCACCCAGAATTTTATAGACCATAATTTGTGCAAAATTATCTGATTAAATCAATAACGCTGTCAATAATTCCTTCCGATGTTTCTCTAGTCCTAGGACATTTAAATGTGCTGATGACTGACAATTTAAAATTGAAACGTTCCATCAAATGAGCTGGGAAGGAGACAGTTGATTCAGGACAGCAGGCTCAGGATCACGACTGGACAAGGAAGAGACCTGCTTGCAGCTTGGCTTGGTTCTCTCCCTCCCTCTAAATAGAGATGTCAAATGAGCTTTCACATAGCAGAGAGGCATGTACTCCATGCTGCCCCAAAGTGGGAAGGAGGCTATTATTGTTGGTTCCAGGCACTATACTGGATGTGCCATTTTGCTGCCCAGTTAACCATTTTGCAGATATCTCTTGAGGTAGGCATTCTTATTATCTCTATTTTCTATCAGAAATGAGAGATCCAGAGGTGAGCAAATTCTTTTTTTTTTTTTTGGATGGGGGGTGGCTTTGTGACCCTCATCCTCTCCCTCTCCCTCTCCCTCTCTCTCTCTATATATGTGTGTGTGTGTGTGTGTGTGTGTGTGTGTGTGTATATATATATATGTATGTATATATATATATACATACATATATATATGTGTATGTATATATATATAATAGCACTTTAGGTTCTGGGGTACATGTGAAGAACATGTAGGATTGTTGCATAGGTACATACATGGCAATGTGGTTAGCTGCCTCCATCCCCATCACCTATATCTGGCATTTCTCCCCATGTTATCCATCCCCAACTCCCTACCCCCCACTGTCCCTCCTCTAGCCCCCCTCAACAGACCATAGCGTGTGATGCTCCCCTCCCTGTGTCCATGTATTCTCATTGTTCAACACCCACCTATGAGTGAGAACATGTGGTGTTTGATTTTCTGCTCTTGCGTCAGTTTGCTGAGAATGATGGTTTCCAGGTTCATCCATGTCCCTACAAAGGACACGAATTCATCGGTTTTTATGGCTGCATAGTATACCATGGTGTATATTTGCCACGTTTTCCCTGTCCAGTCTATCATCGATGGGCATTTGGGTTGGTTCTAGGTCTTTGCTATTGTAAACAGTGCCATAATGAACATACGTGTGCTTGTGTCTTTATAATAGAATGATTTATAATCCTTTGGATATATACCCAGTAATGGGGTTGCTGGGTCAAATGGAATTTCTATTTCTAGGTCCTTGAGGAATAGCCACACGGTTTTCCACAATGGTTGAACTAATTTACACTCCCACCAACAGTGTAAAAGCGTTCCTATTTCTCCACATCCTCTCCAGCATCTGTTGTCTCCAGATTTTTTAATGATCACCATTCCAACTGGCGTGAGATGGTATCTCAATGTGGTTTTGATTTGCATTTCTCTAATGACCAGTGATGATGATCATTTTTTCATATGTTTGTTGGCCTCATATATGTCTTCTTTTGAAAAGTGTCTGTTGATATCCTTTGCCCACCTTTGAATGGGTTTTTTTTTTTTCTCATAAATTTATTTTAGTTCTTTGTAGAAAAAGAGATATTAGCCCTTTGTCAGATGGCTAGATTGCAAAAATTTGTTCCCATTCTGTTGGTTGCCAGTTCACTCTCATGATTGTTTCTTTTGCTGTGCAGAAACTCTGGAGTTTAATTAGATCCCATTTGTCTATTTTGGCTTTTGTTGCCAATGCTTTTGGTGTTTTGGTCATGAAGTCCTTGCCTATGCCTATGACCTGAATAGTTTTGCCTAGATTTTCTTCTAGAGTTTCTATGGTGTTAGGTCTTATTTTTAAGTCTTCAATCCATTTGGAGTTAATTTTAGTGTGAGGTGTCAGGAAGGGGTCCAGTTTCTGCTTTCTGCACATGGCTAGCCAGTTTTCCCAACACCATTTATTAAACAGGGAATCCTTTCCCCATTGCTTGTTTTTGTGAGGTTTGTCAAAGATCAGATGGTTGTAGATGTGTGGAGTTTCCTCCAAGGCCTCTCTTCTGTTCCGTTGGTCTATATCTCTGTTTTGGTACCAGTACCATGCTGTTTTGATTACTGTAGCCTTGTAGTATAGTTTGAAGTCAGGCAGCATGATGCCTCCAGCTTTATTCTTTTTGCTAAGAATTCACTTGGATATGTGGGGTCTCTTTTGGTTTCATATGAGGTTTAAGGTGGTTTTTTTCCAGTTCTGTGAAGAGGGTCATTGGTAGCTTGATGGGGATAGCGCTGAATCTATAAATTACTTTGGGCAGTATGGCCATTTTCACAATATTGATTCTTCCTAACCATGAACATGGAATGTTTCTCCATCTGTTTGTGTCCTCTCTTATTTTGTTGAGCAGTGGTTTGTAGTTCTCCTTAAAGAGGTCCTTTATGTTCTTTGTTAGTTGAATTCCTAGGTATTTTATTCTCTGTGTAGCAATTGTGAATAGCAGTTCTTTCTTGATTTGGCTCTCATTAAGTCTGTTACTGGTGTATAGGAATACTTGTGATTTCTGCTCATTGATTTTGTATCCTGAGACTTTGCTGAAGTTGCTTATCAGTTTAAGGAGATTTTGGGCTGAGACGATGGAGTCTTCTAAATATACAATCATGTCATTTGCAAATAGAGATAATTTGACTTCCTCCTTTCCTAATTGAGTACCCTTTATTTCTTTTTCTTGCCTGATTGCTCTGGCTAGAACTTC